TCAATAGGCACTTAGGGCTTAACCTGTTATTCAAGAAGAGCAATCATGGGCGCGCTTGATTTGTCTACACCGTACTACACCCGGTGTAACCGATTTACACCTTATAATCAAGTGCAATTCGGTATAGTGTATTATTTTCAATATGGACGTCAAATCGGTTGCAGCAGCTGAGGAAATCCTTTTCGGAGATGATTCTTCGTTTTTTCTTGCTTTCCTAAATAATTTCTTTAGTCATTCGATGCCTTTGACAGTCTGCAGGTAATACGCACACAAAGGGCGCGCTTGATTTGTCTACACCTTACACCCGGTGTACACTTTTCCGTAATCAAGTGAAAAAGTGTACACTTTTGGTGTACACCTTCTACACCCTGTGCAGGGCATGTGTTGGAAATTGCACTACGAAATTCAATATGGCCGAAAAATGGTAAGTTGGTAAAATTGTAAGATTCTTTTTCAATATTGAGGATTACTGTCGAGTGTTTGTTGTGTTAATTGTAGTTTGTTGAATGTAGCAATGAAGTAAGCCTTCAATGCATGTCCAGGAGTTAACTGAAATGCGTGGTATTTCTTATAATCAATAAAAACATGTTTTCGCGGCAAAAATCAACAGATACTTTAGACCATGAATAGATATTTCGATATGAAGACTCATTTATGAATGCATGTAAATGCTATATATATATATATATATATATATATATATATATATATATATATATATATATATATATATATATATATATATATATATATATATATATATTATATACTAGTATTACATCATTTTTTACCCATTTTCCTGATAGAGAAGACAGCTACTAAGTGCTTGTAATAATTGGCATTAGATGCCTATAGCCCTCTAAAAAGTTATACAAGTTTGATATTTTTCTACATCAAAGAGGGGGGGGGGTGGTCCCTTTCTAGCCAATAAATAATTGTAAAAACTTGATACTTTTATGTGTATAGGCAAAAGGGTTTAAGCTAACTGCTTACTGCATGTACAAAAATTGGAGGGGGTATGTCTTTCAATAGAAACTTACATAATAGTAATCAGCAAAACACATGCGTACCTTTGTTTCACACCTCGGATAGATAAAATTTCAGAATAGCTTTAATAATATATACTTTAATTGCACGTTAACATTTAAGATATGACAAAAATATGTACATTGATTGATAAATGCCAACAAATGAGTTGAATGTTATTTTGAATTTTATTTGTAGTCTGATGTAAACATTCAAAATTGGAAGTGCTATATCTGCGGTCTTTGTCCCACTCCAGTATCGATTCCGGCATTTGAAGTACAAGAAAAAGATCATCTTCGCTAGCCAAGGGTTTCTGATACGCTACTCTCCTCATAAACCCTTGGCCTACGGTGTTCATAGAAATCGAGATTTTTTTCAGAGTTCTGATTGGATTTCAGTTCACCCTGGTCGACCAATCAACAATTGCTTTTTGTAAATGACGATATTTGCGTTTATTATGCATCTTCACTCTTTAATCTCGGAAATGAAAAACGCAAGTAAGCAACGATCCGTAAGATAACATTCAATTCTATGAATAGCCATGGTGTCATCCAAATATCTTCTAAATATGTGATTAAGAATTCAAATTGAAGCTTTAGATTTGTTCTATAAATAATGAATAAACATAACTCAATTATTGCTTCTTAATTAATCTTGAAAAAACTTTGATTTAATTTTTTTTAACACGTCTTTATTTCTGGCGATGACGCAATCTGTGCATACCTGATAGATTCGAGATCACGTGACGGAAAACAATCCCGTCTTTTGACTTCACCGTATGCCAAGGGTTTATGAGGAGAGTAGCGTTTCAGAAATCCTTGGCTAGCGAAGATGGAAAAAGATACAGAGGCCGTGAAAGTTTTTGTTGACGCAGAATACAGGTACATATATATGCAATATTCATTATCAATAAGAATTTAGATAATTTAAAAAAAAAGAAGAAGTTTTTACTATTTTGAAGTAAAAAAAACCCCGATGTGTTTCTTTTTAAAGAACATGAACTCTTTTCCAAATATAACGAAGATTTATAACTGACGACTGTTTTAGGATTTTCCTAAGGTGTCAATTTTGTAAGTCAGCATTTCATGCTGCGTGAGACTGATTCGAAGCAGGGGTGCTATTCAAAAAAGACGAAATATATTGCAACTGGTGTGCGTAAGAGATGGAGGAGCTTACCAGGTATTTTTTTTAATTTAATGTATAAACTTAAAATATTGTCCAATATTGTGAAGATGGTTTGAAAGACCTCTAGGGGGAAAACTGATTTTTTTCAATAATTTACAGACGTCCGTTTGTAATTGACACGCCTGAAGGAAGCATTACAGCACTACTTCCTCTGCAGTTTGCATCAAAAATCGAAACAGGTGAGTAATACTTAAAGCAGTGTTGATTTCAATAGGTATTACTGAAGATTTCTGATTTTATTTCAATGAATGACTCAACTTGAATATGGTGTGTTTCAAATATAACTGCATGTATTTTGTATTTTGTCACATTGTTTTTGTAGATCCACTGGCAGAGGAAGACTTTAAAGAGAAAATATCAGAATTCCAAAGAAAAAGCCCTGGAGTGATGAACATACTAGTTTATGACATGGTGCTATTGAACCCGTACAACCCGTAGAGGAAATCCAGCAGACAGCTGAGGAGTCAGAGCTGACCAGTCAGACCTCTGATGATAATGACAATACAGGTAAAAAAAAATAACGATCTATTTCTAAATTAAGAACTCTTCAGGTTTAATTGAAAATATGCATTTTTAGTTGCACTTGAAAAAAATTGTTTTTTTCTTTTCTAAAGCTGCTTCATTTAAATGGACACCTGAAATAACAAAGTCATTGATTGATGAGGTACATGCACACCAAAAGGAAAACCCCAAACAGGTCAAAAAGAAAATGTTTCAGGAAATTACCCGTAATCTGAACAAGGAGAAAAACCTTGCCCTGACAGAAACACAGGTAACGAACAAATACAAAACACTGATGAGGGGTTACAAGAATGTCGTTGATAATAATAAAAAGACAGGAACAGCAAGAAAACACCATCCTTTTGAAAAGGAACTGGGGGACTTAACCAAAGGGAATCCCAACATTAAACCCACGCATACTCTGACGTCAGCAGCGGGAAAAGAAAAAAAAATGGCGTCGTCCGGTGAGGACGGTCACGATTCGCCTCCGAGTGATATTCTTGAACTACAGAACTGTGGAGCCAGCCTCCTGCCTGTAAGTGTCAAAATCCAGAGTTTAGTTGTGTATTGTCAGAAAATCAGATTGAACCCAACTTCAGTTTTGCGCATTGTCCTCAAAACTCTGATTTTGTGAAAGCAGTAACTAGCGGGTTATGTGGCAGTATGAGTGATACTCACGCCACCTTGGAATCTACAATAATGACTTGCCAAAACGACTTTGCATCTTTTGATCTCGAACTTCAAAATCTTCCCAGGGACTTATATGTTCAAAAACTTCTTGAGATCACATCGAACAGCGAACAGCTTATAATAGAATACAGATATGCACTACTTGTGAAAGCAAAAAATACCAAGGGGTGCCCAACGGGTAAACTTATCACCAGAAAAACAACCAAAAGTAACACTAGTTCAACCAAGTATGCTAGAGATTGTTTTGCCCTCTATATGCTCTGTAATGGCGATAGCTCATACATATCTGATGTGTTTGATAAATCTAAACAAGATCATCCTAGCGAACGTCCGACGCAAGCGTTTATCGAACTACGATCGCTAACTCAGTCGTTAATGCAGAGAGTGACCGAACTTGAGAAAGCACAGTCCTCATATGTCAAGACCATAGAGTCTCTCAAAAAGTCAGTCAATGAGTTGAAATCAGAAAATAAAGCGCTTTCCAACATGACCGACAAAATACAATCAGATTTTGTCTCACATGCAACTGGATGTGAAACTTCTCGAAAAAATACCAAAGCACATTTGAAAAAACTCGATGGTCTTGACTTCATTGAATATCAAGCTGTGAACAAGAAAATGAACGAAGAAATATCAAGAGTATCCAAAGTGTGTGTTAATTTACAAAAACAAATTTCTAACACAAAAACACAAAAATCATATGCTTCAGCTATTTCCCCGCAGAGGACCCCTTCTTCAGCCGAGGTGGAATTTAAAGGGACTCCACACCTGAGCGAACAAGCTAACTGTTCCTATACAGACAACGCTGATTGTTCCATTGTCCGCCCACCCACACCCGTCGATAATATACCTGGCCCGTCTGCAGCGATCAGACCAAATACACAAGAGTTAGCCGACAACTCACACAAAAACGACCCTGTGGTTAGCAAAAATACTAGTTGTAGCAAAACTGCATATGCCGCAAATCAGTACACGCTTTTAGTTAAGAAAGTAGTGCACGTCAACTCTTGTCAAAACAAGAGCAACACCATGCCTGACTCAGTTTCTATGTCGTCTAAGAGTGTTCGATCATCCGATCAACCTTTTAACAATGCAAATTCGGCAAACCAACAGTATAGTTACAAAGTGGCTGCGAGTTACTCGACAACAGATGCTACAGCGCCTAACAAAACCTCACCTGAAATGTCTCCGCCCAACGAGGATGATAATGACATCTTTGAAGGTGTAACGTACAAGCGCAATGCCAGATACTACATATCAGGAGTCGGTAACAGATCAACGCAACCAGGCATGCTTAACTTCCTCAAACCTAAAGGAATATCTGTCTCACACTGCGTGTTTTTTAAACCGAAATACCCTGGGTCTCGTCGCAATGCAAAAATTAATGTAGCTCTGTCTGACGCCCAAATCGTGGAAGCACCTGGATTTTGGCCGCACGGAATCTCCTGTCGATTGTGGATGAGTGAAAAGGAGTGGGAATCAAAGATAGCGCAAAGCAGACCTACTGAAAATGGTACCTCAGAGGAGGAAGATTGGGAGACCGAACACTCCTGAATCACTCGTTCTGCAATATAAAAAGTATTTTTTATATCATTAAAATGTCTAATTCCATAAACATCTTGACCTGGAATGTCCGTGGTGTCATATCGTCGTCACTTTGTTTATCGGAACTCTTAGTAAAATCAAAGTGTGACATTGCAATAATAACAGAGCATAAATTAAAATCAAGCTGTGACAATTATCTGGACTCCATATGTTCAGACTATTGTAGTCTCACACGTATAGAAAAATCCACTAACGAAACTCTATCCGACATTTGTCGCTTTCTGGGCAAGGGTGGAGTAAGTATAATGTACAAGAAAGGAATCCAGTTCTCAGTTGTCGAAATCACTGACATTAGCTCTACTCGCATTATCGGCGTAGAGCTCAAGCGCTACAATCGAAAGTCGTTGTTTATTTTTAGTGTACATCTTCCGTCGGATAGCAATACACAATCTTATGTTGATGAGATAAACTTACTTGAAGCTTTATATAACCTCTACTCTTCCTATGGTGATGTGCTTATTGGGGGCGATTTCAATGCTAGTCTTTATACCAAAGACTACTCGCACTGTAACTTGCAGAAATCAAAAATCATGAAAGACCTTATTACTCGAAACAACCTGGCATGCCCGAACATAGACTTTAAAACAAGTGGATCAAACTACACGTTTAATACGACACGAACTACATTAGACTACATAATATGCAGCAAAACTCTGAGCAATTATGTCGTAATCTATCATGTCTATGAAGAGGGTTCTTTCAGTTCTACTTCCGACCATCTGCCAATCTGCATGGAACTACAAACTGACATCAAAACACATGTTCTATCCAAACCATCTGCCTCGCTTCCAGCCTGGCATAAAGCCAAACCAGACCAAATAAAGGAATACGAAAAATATATCCGTAATCATGCAAACTTCCAAAACATAAGTCTGAAAACTATAGATGATCTGGACAAGTTCTGCACAGAGTTAAACTCTGTGCTACATTCTGCATCATCACTTACTATCCCCACGGCAAAGTACAAACCCTTCTTGAGGCCAGAGTGGACTCCCAAAGTAAAAGAGCTACACGATACAGAGCGCCAAATGCGAAGGATGTGGATAAATGAAGGTCGCCCTCGAGGAATGACACACGACTCTTACAAAAAATACAAACATGCAAAACGAAACTTCCGGAACGAACTCAACGACGAACATGATCGTTACATGTCAAGTGTTTTTAAGGATATAGATGAATCATCAGAGTGCGATGTTCGCCTTTTCTGGAAGTTAATCAGACGACTGAAACCACGTTCTTCTCGCACTTACCCTGTTATTGAATACAATGACGAACAATTTGACGACCCTCCTGGCGTATCTCTCGCATTTGCAAAGCATTTTTCAGACATTTATAATGCCAAAGAAAATGCAAATTATTGTTCAGACTTTCTCGCTTCAATAGAAAACCGTTATAGTGAACTCGTACGCATATCGAGATCAACAAATGATAGTTTCCCAGGAGGTCCCGCGACCGTTAAGGAAATACAGAACATTATTCGTAATCTCAAGCGCAGAAAAGCCCCTGGTCTTGATCTCACTCAAAACGAACATTTAATTCATGGCGGTATACAAGTAGCTAGATGCATTGCTCTCAACTCTTCAATGCAATTCTGGAAGTCGGATATGTTCCATCCTGTTGGAAAAAAGACCTGATTGTTCCCATCTATAAAGGCAACAACAAACCTCGAAAATCTCCCGATAGTTACCGACCAATTGCTCTCCTCCCATGTGCGTTTAAAGTTTTTGAAACATTTATCCTCACTAGAATACAGTCAAACTTATTGCAATCAATATCTTTCCCATGCTCTCAGCAACAAGGCTTTCAAGAAAAACTTGGGTGTCTAACAGCTTCCTTCAATCTACAAGAAACTATCCATCACAATATTGAACAAAACAGCTCTGTTTATGTTGCCTTTTTAGATACACAGAAAGCTTTCGATACGGTATGGAGGCACGGTCTCATGTACAAACTTCACGAACTCGGGAAATCGGGCACAATGTGGTCTTTGATAAATGACTGTCACTCCAACACACAATTTTCCGTTGTAGTAAACCAGACCAGCTCCCAGTGGTTTCGAGTATCCCAAGGCGTTCGACAGGGAGGCGTACTTTCGACTTTCCTTTATCTCGTATTCATTGATGGTTTACTATCAGAAATTCAAAATCTTAGCAAGAACATAGGAGTCTTCAATGTTCAAAGCTCAAACCCAACCCTAGCAGATGACATCTGTGCCATTGCTCTCACACCTCTTGAGCTTCAAAGAGTTCTTGACAACATATTCCTATACTCAACACGCTGGCGATTTACATTTAACACCGCAAAATCCAACGTTCTCCTCTTCCACCAAAAGCGCTCAAATCCTGCTGACACTTTAAGCTTGCGTCTCGGCAATGAACGCATTGAATTTTCCAACTCGTACAATCATCTTGGAATCCTTTTAAGCTCCAACTTTGATCCTGGCGAAAGAACATCAAACGCTTGCAGGAAAGGACGGCAAGCATATTTCGCACTTAAAGTTTCCGAACAGCTCAACCCCATAACAGTGGCCAAAATGTACAAAAAAGTTGTCTTACCATCAGTTCTCTACGGAAGCGAATTATGGTGCGATCTTCGGACAAAAGACATAAGAACACTCAACGCATTCCAACATTTCGTTGTTAAACATGTTATGGGACTGTCCCACCATACAAGATCAGACATGTGCGAAAGCCTTCTAGGTCTCCTTCCAATTACAGCAGAGATTGACATTAAGAAGTTGCAATTCTTTGGTCGTCTCTGTGAACTCAACACAACTTACCTCACCAAGCGCATATTCATCATCCGTCTGTTCTCCTACCTGTTCAACGCTAGTACTAAACATTATGGGTTTATTCAGGACATAATTCCCATACTCCTGAAATACAACTTATACCACGTGTTAACTGGTTATCTCGAAAGTGGATTCTTCCCCAACAAGTCTCAGTGGAAAACTTCAGTGAAATCTTCTGTCATCTCCTTTCACTCTGCCTCTAGGCGCAACCGAATGCTTGTCGACCCCGACTTTGCTAGATTCAACATTCTCTGCGCAAGCAAACCACCTGAGCAACTGTGGATCATCCCAAAAAATATCCATGAACTTGTTTTGTGTAAATTCATTGTCAAGCTATGGACCCTTTTAGATGTACTGCCGGAAACATGCTGCCTCTGCGCAAAATCTTTCACAAATGTGTTCGAGCACATTACTACGGTTTGCCCCGAAACATCTCTGTTTCGCGACGCCTGGTGGGAAACTGTGATTGAGGACTACGACATCTCACTAGGCGCCGAACTCTCAGGACTCCCTGGAAATGAATTATACTTGTTTCTGCTCGGTGCCAGATGTCTAACACCTTTACTCTCCGACCGTGATGCACCAGAACTCCATATCCTTAACTTTCGCTTTATAAGAGATGTGGCTGCGGTGTATTAAAGAAAGATAACATACTCGTAAATGGATATTTCTGACCCCTGTGCACTAACTTTATTTTTTGCAAACATATAAGACAATTTCTTCATTTTCAAATTTAATTTTGCATTAATGTAAATAATTAGCACTTATATGATGTTATATTTTGTTCTTTCACTATGTGTTCTTATATGTTCATGAATCTCCAATGGGAGGAAATAAAGAAAGAATGAATGAATGAATGTCGAGTGTTTGTTGTGTTAATTGTAGTTTGTTGAATGTAGCAATGAAGTAAGCCTTCAATGCATGTCCAGGAGTTAATTGAAATGCGTGGTATTTCTTACAATCAATATAAACATGTTTTCGCGGCAAAAATCAACAAATACTTTAGACCATGAATAGATATTTTTATATGAATACTCATTTATGAATGCATGTAAATGCTATATATATATATATATATATATATATATATATAATATACTAGTATTACATCATTTTTTACCCATTTTCCTGATAGAGAAGACAGCTACTAAGTGCTTGTACTAATTGGCATTAGATGCCTATAGCCCTCTAAAAAGTTATACAAGTTTGATATTTTTCTACATCAAAGAGGGGGGGGGGTGGTCCCTTTCTAGCCAATAAATAATTGTAAAAACTTGATACTTTTATGTGTATAGGCAAAAGGGTTTAAGCTAACTGCTTACTGCATGTACAAAAATTGGAGGGGGTATGTCTTTCAATAGAAACTTACATAATAGTAATCAGCAAAACACATGCGTACCTTTGTTTCACACCTCGGATAGATAAAATTTCAGAATAGCTTTAATAATATATACTTTAATTGCACGTTAACATTTAAGATATGACAAAAATATGTACATTGATTGATAAATGCCAACAAATGAGTTGAATGTTATTTTGAATTTTATTTGTAGTCTGATGTAAACATTCAAAATTGGAAGTGCTATATCTGCGGTCTTTGTCCCACTCCAGTATCGATTCCGGCATTTGAAGTACAAGAAAAAGATCATCTTCGCTAGCCAAGGGTTTCTGATACGCTACTCTCCTCATAAACCCTTGGCCTACGGTGTTCATAGAAATCGAGATTTTTTTCAGAGTTCTGATTGGATTTCAGTTCACCCTGGTCGACCAATCAACAATTGCTTTTTGTAAATGACGATATTTGCGTTCGGGATGCATCTTCACTCTTTAATCTCGGAAATGAAAAACGCAAGTAAGCAACGATCCGTAAGATAACATTCAATTCTATGAATAGCCATGGTGTCATCCAAATATCTTCTAAATATGTGATTAAGAATTCAAATTGAAGCTTTAGATTTGTTCTATAAATAATGAATAAACATAACTCAATTATTGCTTCTTAATTAATCTTGAAAAAACTTTGATTTAATTTTTTTTAACACGTCTTTATTTCTGGCGATGACGCAATCTGTGCATACCTGATAGATTCGAGATCACGTGACGGAAAACAATCCCGTCTTTTGACTTCACCGTATGCCAAGGGTTTATGAGGAGAGTAGCGTTTCAGAAATCCTTGGCTAGCGAAGATGGAAAAAGATACAGAGGCCGTGAAAGTTTTTGTTGACGCAGAATACAGGTACATATATATGCAATATTCATTATCAATAAGAATTTAGATAATTTAAAAAAAAAGAAGAAGTTTTTACTATTTTGAAGTAAAAAAAACCCCGATGTGTTTCTTTTTAAAGAACATGAACTCTTTTCCAAATATAACGAAGATTTATAACTGACGACTGTTTTAGGATTTTCCTAAGGTGTCAATTTTGTAAGTCAGCATTTCATGCTGCGTGAGACTGATTCGAAGCAGGGGTGCTATTCAAAAAAGACGAAATATATTGCAACTGGTGTGCGTAAGAGATGGAGGAGCTTACCAGGTATTTTTTTTAATTTAATGTATAAACTTAAAATATTGTCCAATATTGTGAAGATGGTTTGAAAGACCTCTAGGGGAAAACTGATTTTTTTCAATAATTTACAGACGTCCGTTTGTAATTGACACGCCTGAAGGAAGCATTACAGCACTACTTCCTCTGCAGTTTGCATCAAAAATCGAAACAGGTGAGTAATACTTAAAGCAGTGTTGATTTCAATAGGTATTACTGAAGATTTCTGATTTTATTTCAATGAATGACTCAACTTGAATATGGTGTGTTTCAAATATAACTGCATGTATTTTGTATTTTGTCACATTGTTTTTGTAGATCCACTGGCAGAGGAAGACTTTAAAGAGAAAATATCAGAATTCCAAAGAAAAAGCCCTGGAGTGATGAACATACTAGTTTATGACATGGTGCTATTGAACCCGTACAACCCGTAGAGGAAATCCAGCAGACAGCTGAGGAGTCAGAGCTGACCAGTCAGACCTCTGATGATAATGACAATACAGGTAAAAAAAAATAACGATCTATTTCTAAATTAAGAACTCTTCAGGTTTAATTGAAAATATGCATTTTTAGTTGCACTTGAAAAAAATTGTTTTTTTCTTTTCTAAAGCTGCTTCATTTAAATGGACACCTGAAATAACAAAGTCATTGATTGATGAGGTACATGCACACCAAAAGGAAAACCCCAAACAGGTCAAAAAGAAAATGTTTCAGGAAATTACCCGTAATCTGAACAAGGAGAAAAACCTTGCCCTGACAGAAACACAGGTAACGAACAAATACAAAACACTGATGAGGGGTTACAAGAATGTCGTTGATAATAATAAAAAGACAGGAACAGCAAGAAAACACCATCCTTTTGAAAAGGAACTGGGGGACTTAACCAAAGGGAATCCCAACATTAAACCCACGCATACTCTGACGTCAGCAGCGGGAAAAGAAAAAAAAATGGCGTCGTCCGGTGAGGACGGTCACGATTCGCCTCCGAGTGATATTCTTGAACTACAGAACTGTGGAGCCAGCCTCCTGCCTGTAAGTAGTCAAAATCCAGAGTTTAGTTGTGTATTGTCAGAAAATCAGATTGAACCCAACTTCAGTTTTGCGCATTGTCCTCAAAACTCTGATTTTGTGAAAGCAGTAACTAGCGGGTTATGTGGCAGTATGAGTGATACTCACGCCACCTTGGAATCTACAATAATGACTTGCCAAAACGACTTTGCATCTTTTGATCTCGAACTTCAAAATCTTCCCAGGGACTTATATGTTCAAAAACTTCTTGAGATCACATCGAACAGCGAAC